CTGAGCAGATCGCTCTAAGGGATATTCTGTGATCACTTGGCCAATAAAAATAACGGTCACAACGTGCTCTGATTTCAATTTTATTCCCATTAACATTATGTAAGAGCATCAACAGGATGATCAGTAGGTATCAGAACCAATAACTAAAATGGATAGCAAATTCAATTAAATCCTGACATGTCTACATACATACTATATCTACAAATTAATTATTGTATATATTGAAATCCAGAAAGGAGAGTTTTAAAACTTGATTTAAGTTCAGAGAAGAACAAACATGAACCAGCAGTACATACTCTGTTCTACTGTCACACACACTCATCCTCTCCTCTACTACTTTGTTCTTTTATATTCATCTTTAATTTCTCATCTGTCTCACACAGACGCACACACACACACACACACACACACACTCTCTTCCCCCCTTCGTCTTAACCTCTTGGTTGCCTGACTTCCTGTCTCCCTGTAGCCTGAAAGCTGAGCCAAATCAATTAGTCTGCAGAAATTACAGAGCAATAAATAACGAGGGCCAGTCGGCAGCAGCGGAGACGGGTGGAGGGCGAAGCAGAGTTATGGGGCCCCTCCTGTCTGTCTGCATGTGCAGCTCAGGATGCTGGGGCTTCCAAACTCTTACAATATCACAATAAGAGCATTTTATGCGCCTGGCTGCATGATGTTTACAGGATAAATCTGTTAGGAGTATTTGGTTTAATAGGGGCTAGAGACAGAACTTTTTCATATCATGTTTTTATTTCTTTCATTTATGGAAAGAAAGTAAGAACTTAAGCCCATGGAAGGAATGATGTGTACAGAGCTGTATTCTTCTCTGTGTGCATTTAAGGGAGTAAAGTTCCCTCAGTATATTTTTAAAATATAATTCCATAAACTCCATATGCCTCTGTTTTGACTCTGCGGGTAACCTCAGACGCCAGGCGGGGGGTGTCTACAGTTTCGGGGTGCTGTGTCTTCTGTGACCTTGGTCTTTGCTCTGATACCTGATCCTGTCTGTTGCAAACTAGTCAAATCATCTCTCTTTGTCTGACACACACACACACACTGAGACAAATATATAGAAATGCAACCCTGTCTCCTATAAATTACATTTACATACTAAAAGAAACGTAATTCATTTTGATTATGCTTCTAAACAAGGGGTCTATGTGTAAATCAAAAATACCCCAAAAACTACATTTTTTTGTGATAAAAGAAAATAACTTAAAAAATAGTCGACAACATGCTAATCAAGATGGCCTCTTCTGTCTGTATGTTCTTTCAGGTCATAGCTGTTGTCATCACTGACATATAAGAAAAGAAAAAAATAGAGATGGAAAAGGAACATCTTGAGCTGTTATGAATAGTATCAACACTATCATCTGCCATCAGATATCTATCTGTCTATCTGTCTATCTCTTTATATCTCTATCTCTCTATATCTCTGTCTCTCTCTCTCTCCTGACTGTGTGAGCAGACTCTGTTGTGTCCACGTGGCTGCCTGTTGTGTTACGGCTGCCTCTGTGTGCGATAAGCTCTTCTCATGTTGTCCCAGTGTTAATTCAACATCCTGTGTCCACACTCTCTTCCTGGCCTTATCACACACTGTGTGTAGACAAAATCACAAATACTTCCGGATGTCAATAGATAAAGTGGACCAACAAGTGTGTGTGTGTGTGGTCCAGGGTTCATTGTGTTGTATGAAGCAGTTAACCTTTAAACGGTGATAAACAGGAGTTGCTCCATGTCTTTAGTCGATCTCCACATTCTGCTCACTGCCTGATTTGTACATTTCAAAATGTCAAATACAATGCAGAGGTGTGTATACAAAGGTACACACACACACACAAACTTACATTATCTCTCTCAGGTAACTAGGGGATTTTGAGACCTGGGGAAATTGTTGAAGTTGGTATGATACCATTTTTGGCACAGAAAAACTTAAATATTTAGACAACTGCAGATGAGTGTATTACTGTTGGAATTTCTATGACGTTATAAGGATGACGAGTTGAGACAGACTAGATAGATTCTGTCAGCGGAACACCTTATTTTGCCTCAGAGAGACATTTTTCTTGCCTTTTCAAGCATCAAAGCATCTCGTCTCAGTGCTTCCATAACAGTACGATCCTTTGATTATTGAAATTTACCTAGTGATGATAACTGCTGTTGATTCAACAAACAGGCTGGAATTTACTGAAAATCTATCTGGAATACATTTTCCTTTCTGCCTCGTGAGCAGCTCAGGACGTGGGTTTAAAACCTCAAACAGTTTGACCTGCAGTTAATTTAAAGTCTAGACTTTTACCTCCATGTTTGGAAGATGTGCGTAGATAAAGACATGATGTGTTAATGAAAACAACTTAAAAACACACAGGAACAAAAGGATGTGTGCTTCAGCTGTTCTGTCTCAGGGTTCTTGAAAAGAAAAGCTGAAGAAAGAACATCCAGCAGAGTCCAAGAAAACAACCGGCTGGTGCATCAGCAACACGATCAAACATACAGGGAAGCTCTAGTGTGATGATCAGGTTATAATTGTTTCTTTTCATCATAATAATGAAAACATTAAATTTGTATTAACATAATTATTGGGTCTATCCTTGCATTTTTGTACCAACTCCAAATGAAGTTCAGTTAACTCATGTTTAAGTTAAGACATGTTTTAACTTAAACGTTGAAAAATCTAAAAATATTTCACAGCATAAAGTGCTCTCCACTGTTTGTCTTTTTGATAGTTATGATAATGATACGGCTTTGTGTGGTTGGAGGGAGAAAAACACAGACTCAAAGATACAATATCAACTTCAGCAGTTGAAATGCGGACATACTGTTTATTTATTCATTTGTGGTATTTGAGAATGTGGTGTTTTGGTTCCTGTTGGTTGCTATCCATTATATTTGTTCAGCAAGACCCAAAAATATCACGGAAGTTAGTCAAACTGGACTGAGTTTCCCAACAGCAGCAGCAGCAACTTTTCATTTGACTAAAACAGGAGATGGATTAGTTGTCCCACAAAAAGGCCGGATGCCCGCTGACTAATCAGAGTAGAGAAGGAAACAAGTCAGCAGATAAACTGCCCTTTGAGTCCAACACTGCAGCCATTTACATTCACAGACCCAGCAAAGAAACCACCAGCACCCCGGAGCAGAACATTTGGAGGAATAAGCCACAATATATCCACAGTGTTGAGTCAGTGGTGGGTTTAGCAGCAGAGCAGGGACACTGAAATCCTCCTAATCTCCCTTTATGATCGACACACACAAGTCCAAAAGTGTAGCAGCAATTTTGAAAAGACATGGACATGGACTTCGGTGAAATGAGCAGGATTGTCAACTACATATCTAAAATCACAGCAAAGTATCTATAAAGTAATTTCTACAACTTAACTGATGGAAGTCACGCTTTATAGGAGCAGTTCAACTCTCTGGTAAATGCACAAATATTCAAAGACACAGATAAGATGGACTGCTCTCATATCTGAACTGAATGAACCTGGTGAGCACAGCAAAACATAAATCCAGGGAATCCAGGAAAACACCTAAAACTGACTAAAGACATTTGCTTGTTAGGAATCCTTGAAAAACCATTTCCATTTTACTGCAGTTCTGGGACCAGTAACTTCCTTATCCTGTGTTGATACAGGATACGTTACAAATGGTTAACTACTGTACGTCCACAAGTTGTCGGGGTAACCAATAATCTACAAGAGCAGCAGCATCAGATATTATGAATGACTGAAATTAAATGCACACACACACACACACACACACATAGTTAGGCAACCTCAACATGTCGAACAGCCTGTTCTTTGGAGATAAGGGAACCTTGTATGTAAACGATTCTCATGGTTGGCCTTGTGTGTGTGAATCTGAGTGTGAGCATATAACATAAGGTATTTTTAATATTTGAAGGCATTCAAGTGATAAAATACACACACACACACACACACACACACACACACACACACACACACAGACAGACAGATCCCCAGCTGAGACCATTATCAGTTCAAGCAAGGAGGCAGCTTAGAGAGACTTGCTGAGTGATCAAGATTTATTGTACATAGGAGATAAGACACAGCCGCAGACATACATGTACAGACCACACACCATCTACACAGGGGATAAAATACACAGTGAAACATAATCGTGTACAAAAACACACACACACACACACACACACACACACACACACACACACACACTCACACAAAGACACTTCAAAAGCTGGTGCTGGCTGGGATCACTGCTGCCCTCTCCTCCCTCCTCTTGACCTTTAACCTCCATCTCTTCATTCTTCCGTCTCGCCGTCTCTCTGTGCTAATCGGTCTCACATTCGTTTCAGTCTGTTTGATTTTTGCTTTTTCACTGTCTTCGGGGGTGTCCACCTATTTTTCTGTCCTATAATCTGGTCATTTGAGACAAATTGTTGTGGTGATTGCGTCAGCACCAAGCTTCTGTCAAGTGTCAGTGCAGCGCACACATGAGTCCAACGTAAAACCTCAAACTGTGGAAAACCATGAGGACATACGATGTTTCTTTCATGTAAAAGATTGAGGATTATGTTAGTCATTGATTCACACAGATTCAATGTGTTTATCATCTATCAGATAATTATGCAACAAGTTATTCGTTATTTGTGTTTCCATTGATTCCATTCATTTAGTATTATCGTGTATATAATTACTTTTATAAGTAGTAGTAGTTGTTGCAGTAGTAGTAGTAGCAGTAGTAGTAGGAGTATTGATATTTCCACCTCAGACAAGTTTACAAACTTATTCGTGGTGCTTTGACCTTTTTCCCCAGTGTTCTGAATGCAAACCAAAAACTCAGTGGTTTCAAATAAAAACCTCAGTGTGGCCAATATTAGCTGATGAGAGCGATAACAACTTGCCCTGAATCAGGATATTTATTGGCTTCTGCACTGAGTCTGGTTCTTTTCCAGCCTGTCAGACTCAGCTGCCACTTCTTTAAGCAAACACAGAGGCAGAGAAACAGAGCAGCTTTGTTTTAAATTATACTTTATTTCATATAAAAACACAACAATAAACAAATAAATTAGATATTTCTAAAATAATTCTCTTGAGGAAATGTTTAAGAACATTGTGATTGTTTACAATTTTGTATCTGGGATAACTGGAATGTAGAGATGCACGTGTCGGGACACTTTGTGTAAATGTAAAAGAGCTTCATTCCAAAATGAGATCTCCATCAGCAACACCAGCTGTCACGAGGTGACTGGCAGCATAAAATGCAAACAAAATGAGCAGAGTATGTTAATCCTTCTTAAACAAAATGCTTGACTGGGTTTGCACATGGTAAGATTACTAAATGATGAATGTAAAGCATCTTGGAATGAAAACCTGAAACTTTCCACCATCTGATAGGAAAAAAGGAGGAGAGAGTAATGGTGCAAGTTGTGATGGCGAGATTAGCCAAATTAAATTTCTGTCGGGAGGCTGAAGGAGGTTTTGTTTTCACCAGCATTGAAAGCAACCAAATTTCAGACTGAAATCAATTAATTCAAATGAGGCGTTACAATTAGTGAATGTGCTTCTTTGTGTTTTCCACAGATCTGGACACAGATATTGCACAATGTCAATTTTGTCAATGGTTATTGTGTCTGAATTGTTGCACCAGGTCCAGGAGGCGGACTGGGACTCAGTTGGCATTTTACACCACAGGGGAAATTGTTGCAGCTGGTCCTGGCAGCAGTGGTGGAGCAGCAAACGTGAGTTAAGATTTGTAATTTAAAAGATGGTGGCCTTGGATAAAGATAGGGGCGTTTTGGGAGAGAGGAGGAGACATTACCATAATAAGAGCCTCTTCATTTGCAAACAAGCCCAAGCCATCCCCACACCGCCACCGCCCCCCAAAAACTCCCTCTGGTCCGTAGTCGCACCCATTAAGCCTGCAAAGCCTTCATTGTCCGGCCAGGCTGCGGACCTGAGGACCCCTCACCAACAGATTGGGTTGGGTGAGGGGTTACAGCCAGACAAAGGAGGCTCCCTCCCCCTTCTCCTCTATTTGAAATCAATCACACTGGCTTTCACATTCAGTGCCCCCCCCTCCCTGATCTCCTCTCCTTGTTCAGCAGTGACAGTGAGCCCGGCCCAGCTCCCCACAGAGTCCTCACACAGCCGAATCGTCAGTCCTCCATTCAGGACGAGTCCCACCACGGACACACTACTGTCTCTGACAATGCAGCGATGTAGGCACAGACTGAGGAAAGCTGTTAGAGGAAGACCGCAAGACCAGTTCACGTGGTCGTCTTTACTTGAAAAACGTGTCTGTCTCGTGACCTTTAGGGGTTTGGAGACCTGATCCAACCTCATTTCAAACACTCATGAGAGAAATCTTTTTTACTTCATGTCCAAATAGTTTTAAAATGTTGTGGTTTTCATCTGACAACAGCAACAATAACTGGGCTGGTTCTGATATTTACCCGCAAATTGTTTTCTTGGGCTGGAGGCCGCAGCATTTTAGTACAAAATCATAAATGGGGGGTTTCATTCCAAAAACTTTAAGCCACAAACATTTGAGGATGTCAATGGAAAAATTTGGTAATTTTGTTGACTTAACATGTAGGGCTGTTTTAAGACAATGTAAAATGAATTTCAACATCTACTGTCATGATTTGGGAGTGACCCCAATGTTGTATTTAGATTTCTTATTTTCATTTGCATTTCATTTCTGCAAAAATTGAATTAATAATCAAAATGTTTGAGTTGAGAAATTGTGGTGTCATTTTGGAATGAAACCTGAACATAGACAGTGACAGAGGTGACAGGTTTGGCACTGGAAACACTACCTCTCTCCTTTTTGCCTCCACTAACCTTCATTTCTGTGTCATTCAGAATAATTTATAAAAGGCAATCGTCTTTCTGCTGTTGATATGTACATACAATATTTTAATATTCTAATATCTTCACAGGAAAATTATAACTTCAGGCACTTTGCTGATGCAACAGCAACTTCTTAGCATGAGAGATCCTGAGATTTAAGACCGTTTTTCTTTTTAAATAAGCAACACAAAAGTAAAATAATCTTATATAGAGAGATTTATATTTAACAATCCGTTTCTTCTTTTTTATCATAGCAAAATAAATCTTTTTTTTTCGTTAAAATGTCTTTATCACCGGGGTTTCAAGCCCTGGTTTCTGGTTGAGTTTGTGTGAGGAGATCATTGTCCTTTGCCTCTCTAAAGGAGACTTGATCATAGAGAGCATTTCAAGCCTTTTTGAGTACCAGGGTCTCTTCGGTTGTGTTTAGTGCCGCAGTTTTCCAACCTTACAGCTGTTCTTGGGCACAGTGCCAGAGCTGATAGTCCAAAGTACCATATTTTGTTTGTCTTCTGCTCATTCTTCTGCCCATGATGAAAGGTTTTCCTACTAAACTCCACTAAGTAATGAAGCCCACTGGCCTCAGTGCTCCATGTGCACCCGTGTGTACCTGTGTGTGTGTGTCTGCGTGTGTATTTGTGTGTAACAGATGCCCACCTACATCTAAGGGCTTTGTCTGGGGCCATACTGGAGGTCCAATGTAAAACCTAATGAGAATAAAAGCTTGGCCTTAACTTTAGAAATGATGTAGTGGACCTCCAGTGTGGCAGCCAGATGATGTGTTGCTTCACTTGAAAGCCCAAAGTCGTGTTCCCGTCTGTAGTGTTCTGTTCATGTGTGTTTATGTGCTGTTGCCTATCGGAGTGCTGTCTTCATATCTATCCGGGAACGCACATCCTGGTAGCCCAGGAGACAGGGGTCAGTGGACAAGGCATCATGGGTAAAAACTGAGTCGTTGTCAGAGGAGCAGGAGCTAGATGTGTCCTCACATGATGGCGAGTACTGCTCGAAGGGTGTCGACAGGTCCAAGTACTGAGGGGAGAGGAAAATTATTTTAGCAAACAAATTGAATAGGAAATCCAATTTGACAAGGTCTCAAAGGCGGCCAGACTGCTGTTCATCAGTCTAAGACCACCACATCACTATAGCAGACATTTTTAAATCAACGATTTTAATTTAACCTAAAAGATTTTTGGCTTTTTATCAAAGCATTTTAGACAAAGAACCAAACACATATAGATTTTTTTGTTGCTTGCCATTTTAAAGTCTGCTCTGTATGCATTCACAATTGTGTCCTGAAGACATCTGGACAACAGATTGTGACGGAGAAGACGAGGAAAATGTGTGTGTGCATCTTCTTAAGTGCATCCGTTAACAAGTCTGTGTGTGTGTGTGTGTGT